ACGCGAAAACACTTTTTTTCGGTAGGGTCATCGGAAATGACGTCGCAATGGCTGAGTTTAAAATATTTTTCAATCAAAATTTCAGAAAATCTTCTTTAAATATGTATCTTAAATGCTATAAAAAGTTTGAATAAGAATTCCATTTTTTATATAGAAAAAAAAATTGTTGAAAMCATGCTATTTTTTCCCGGTGTAAAATCATGTAACCCCTTAAAAGAAAGAATAAAAGTACAAATTATAATCAAATTATAATCAAAGTTAAATGATTGTTTAATAAAGCTATCTCTAATGAAAATGAATAATGTAATTATGATTCTATATTGATGAAAAGTATGACATAATAAGTTTTTTAACAACGTTTCGAATTACTGTTCACTCAATACCACCGAGTATAGTCTGTAGTGTTTAGTATGCACGGTATATCGGATGTTGCCTGAAATATAACAATGTGGTTGAACGCCGTGACGGAAATGATCCTTGCATTTTGAAGCACGTAACGGTATTGCATTCGCCTAACTTTCAAAGTTACCGACTATACGACTCTGTTCGTCTACTACCGATCATAGTTTTGCTACTCGAAACGATCTCGATCCCGCAATTACTTTGAATTATTATAATGATAACAATTTACCCAAACTTTATCATATTATATATACGACTAAACATTTTTTTTTACCATAACTTTAACATATATATATGTTATATGATATTATAATGATAACAATTTATCCAAACTTTATCATATTATATGTACGACTAAAGAATTTTTTTTACCATAACTTTAACATATATATATGTTAAATGATATTATAATGATAACAGTTTATCCAACCTTTATCATATTATATGTACGACTACAGATTCTTTTTACCATAACTTTAACATACATATATATTGTTAACATACATATGTTATTACATATACATAATAATGTGTTATACATATGTTATAATGTTATACATTATGTTAAAATATATATGTTAACATATAATATAAGTAAATTATTTTCTATAGATAATATCTATTTAACCATAATAGATAGAAAATATATCACGCATACGTATATGAACATATGTAAAAATGCATATATAGTTGCATACATTCTATAAATTCGCAGATACATTTTTAAGAGTAACATCTATTTAACCATTATAAATAGAAAATATATCACGCATATGTATAAGCATGTAAAAGATGAACATATGTAAAAATGCGTATATAGTTGCATACATTATATAAATTCGCAGATGCATTTTTAATGAATGGCACGCTTTTCCATTTTCTTCTTTCAGAATCGTCCTAAAAAACGTGAACAAAGGATTGAATCTCTCTGTTTCCCTCTCGTCGTCATTCAAATAAAAGAACAGAGAAGAAAATGGGGGAAAAAGAAAATGACTCGCGGTTGCTTTTTACGAGATGGAAAGAAGAAGAAGAAAAAGAAGAAAGAAGGAATCGAGAATGACGATAACACTTTGACGGCTTCGAAGTATTATCCACCTGCAACTACGGCTCTTACGTAAGTCCTATTTTAATTCCATCAGTACCCACCCCACACACACCCCACACCCCCCATTGCAACTTTTACTCTCTTTCCTACTTTCTTTTCGTATATGTTATACATACATATATTTATTATATCTTTCTCTCTCATTCC